TAATGTATTATAAATACTTGTTTCTTTAATAGATATACATTATTGTTTAACCTTAAATGTTTATTAATGCTTCAGATAAGATTTAGCTAAAAGTAAAAACTAAGTGCAATTTTATTTCATTTACATGTAAATAATAACATCAATTACTTACATAAATAGTTTGCCTTGTATATAACATGCAATCCCCTTAAAAGATGTTGTATTATTTAAAAATTTTTGCATTTTTATCTAATTTTTAATTTTTTAAGAAATCACTTACATATTTTAAGATTTGGCACTTTGTGTTCCCCAATTTTTACACTATCACATAATTTACTCACTGCATATTAACATGATCATTGCTATTACTATCATCTCTATCACTGTCATCGCTATCACTGTCATCACTATCATTGTCACCCCTCACATTTATTACCACAGGATAGCACATGATCGTCCATCAATCCGTCAATAACCCAAAATATTTGTTCTTTTTTAATAGCAAGTTTACTATAGTTTTTCCAGTTGTCCACTGTTACTACACCAAATGAATTTCTTATTTATTGTTCCATTGCGGCAGTCTTAAATTCTGTGTTGTCTAAAGCAATGTCTTTTGACTTCAATCAGTACTTTTTCAATTGGATTCAGCTCATAATGGTATAGAGGTAGTTTCAGAATGGCAACATTTTTCGCTTTGCACATTTTGTCGATTTTATATTTTATGTATTCTTTTTTGAATGTTTTTACGACTTCCATAAGCACCGATTTTAAATAATCTTTCTTAACATAAGATATACAGATGACACCGTGATTATGGCAAGATTTACTGAACAACTCTAATTACTGCTAAACAAAACAAACAGTTTCTGTTAAAAAAATATGAACTAAAAATGAATATAAAAATGAATAAATACATGATAATAACAAAAAAAAACAAATATACCAACAAACATACATTTGGGAAATGTACCGATAGAAAGGGTTTATAAATACAAATACCTAGGAACCTGGATTTCAGAAAATAATGATCAAACAACCGAAATAAGAGCTAGGCTAGAAATAGCAAGAAATGCGTTTGTAAAAATGAAAACAATTCTCTGCAATAAAGAACTTAGATTAGAACTGAGAGTAAGAGCACTGAGATGCTACGTGTTTTCGATACTGCAATATAGACTTGAAGGCTGGACATTCAAGCAAGAACACATTAAATAAATACAGTCCTTTGAAATGTTGTGTTGATGCTTAGAATAGCATGGACACAGAAGAAAACTAACACGGAAGTATTGCGAGAAATGGGCAAAGAATGCGAAATAATAAACACAATAAAAATAAGAAACTTACTTACTTAACTGTAGAAGATAAAAATAAAAAACCAAAAACTGAGGTATTTGCCTAAATTTTGGTGTTTTCTGAAAAAAGTGTAAAAACAAAAGTTGTAGATCTTTTTATTACCTACAACTTTTCTATTTAATTTTCTTCTATTGGACCTGTACTTTTACCAGAAATCGTGATAAACCGTTTTGTACCCTTAAAAATCCACCCCTTCCATTTCCTAACCTCAGATCCATCGTAAATTATGTTTCCTTTAATTTTTGTTTCATTTTATTCCTTTTATTTTGTTATATATATATATATATTTTTTTTTTATTTTTACCATTTTCAAAACCTTCGGACTGTAGGTTACCGGCAGGCCTAGTCTATAGATGGCATTGATAAAATAATTCAGCTTGATACATATTAGGCGTTTGGATATTTTATGTCGGAAAACTTTTATAATAAGCAAATATTATGAGTATTTTCATTTGTTTTGTTATAAGAAGCTAACTATTACTTCAAATAAACCATTGATACCTATTTATTTATTATGAAAGACAATATTGATATTAAAATTAAAACGTTAAATATTTTTAACAGGTTAAATATTAATTTAGTATTTAATGTCTAGATAGCACTATAAATACCTTACAAAATTTCAAACTTTTCCTTTTCTGCCTAACGCGGTTATAAAATTTTAAAATTGAAAAACATAAACAAATAGAAAAAATAGAAAGTGGGGAATATATCCAACCCTTACTAGATTCGTCAACAACATTTAATGCAGATCTAAATTCTGATAATTGTATGGAATTTATAGATATATTCCTGAGCAGCACTGTGGTGTGTATTCCGGTAGTTCTATATTGGAACAGTGCATGGACACTTTTTGCGCTATACGAACGATATTTCCCAGTATATGAAACTTACTGTTTGGGAATCTTTATCCACTTGGTTTTCGCGTTGTGTCAAATTTTTTTTCATGAACTTCTCGTCGAAACGGTATCAAAAAATGTTTTTACCAAATGTTTCAAGTGGGTGTGCCACAAAATATACTTTCAGGTGAGTGTAAATACATACCTATTTAGATTAGAACAGTAAAAGAAATTTTTTGTCAGTAATCCTTCACGTTGATCAGGACGGTTGGAAAATTATTATTAGAATAGTCATCCTCACTTAACTTGCTATATCCCTGTTGAACATCAATCTTTTTCTAAAGTAGCTCTTCCACATCCAACTCTATTTTGTCTTTTATCAGTTCTCAATTAGAAATACCTTCTTTATTAGGATGACTCAATTTATTCTTATTACATGTTCAGTTTCACTCAAGTTAAAAAATTCGTTTAATGTTGTGTGTAGGTGTATTACCTCGTTTTTATTATTTTATTGTTCTCTGTACCTCTATTTATGAGGATGACGGAAAAAGTATAGACAGAGATCTAAATCTTTAATTTTAGCTGGCGATTACTGGAAATAATTCAAAACCTGATATATTAACCTAAAGGCGTCACTAGCTATGAATAGCTCTTTTGGGTCGGCTTTCCATATTGTATGTTTTCATAAGTTTCTATGTTATGTCATACCAGCGTATTTTTTGATCAATTTGTGCCACCACTAGATTTCCCCTAATATACTCATTTTTAATTTTATCCTTTATTGTCATTCCACTTATCCATCTAAGCATTCTCATTTTCGCTGCATACATTGTTGTTTTTCTTTATTTGTAACTGGCCAACGTTTAGTTTCGTATATCATAGCTGTCCTTGTGGTTGCTTTATAGAATTTTCCCTTCAGCTTCAATGGAATTTTTCACAAAACACAACATACCACTCGCTTCCTTCCACTTTATGCATCCAACCCTAATTGTACTACATACATCTCCATCTATTTTCCCATAACTCTGTAATACCGATCCTAGGTATGTAAAACTATTACCTTTCACAATCATTTTATCCAGCCTTTTATCCATCCAAAGGTATTATTTTATTTGTGGTAAATCTATTTTTAAATGAACATTCTAAATATTTTATTTTTGTCCTACTAAGTTTTAAACCGTTTTCCTCAAGAGCTTGTTCTAGTTTTGGTTCAAAATAGCTTTCACTATTTCCTACCAACACTACATCATCTGCATACATAGCAGTATATCTAATAATATTGACTATCATTTTGTAAATTATATTAATACTTCCTTTTATCATACAAAACATGTTTTCTACTATTTTTGACTTAAATAGACCTCCTTTTTCATCTTCCAACATGCATCACTTAATTTTCTGTAGATATCTTCGGTACTTTGGTTTATTTCAGCTTTTCTTTAGATATATAGCACAAGCAGTTTATGTTGTTGAGTTATTGAGTCACTATTACCTTGAAGTCCTTACAGACAGGTATATATTCTTTTCTTGTCATAAAATAATCTACTTGGGTTTAATTTTGTTCTTTTTGTACGTAATAAGCTGAGCTTCTCGCTTGTGAAAGATTGTCTGAAATAATTGCCATATCTAATGCAGTTGCTGATTCAAGCATATCGCTTCTCCACTAGAAAGAGTCACAATTCAAAAAACGTTGTTTTAAGACAAATTATGTTAAAGATTTTAGTTCAGTTGAACATGTATTAGTTCTATTACTAAATACACGATGATATGCTATGTTATTGTAAACTGGAATATATTAGCTATGTGTTATTGGTGCATAATTTTTCTCGAAAATTAAATTTTTGCAGTTAATAGTAAAAAAGTAGAAACATGCCGATATTGTGACACTTTTTTAGAACAAGATTATCGTTGAATAATTGATGGATTCGACCGTTACTTGATGGAAATTCATTTTATGTAACAATAAAACACTGAAAACTTTGTGGAAGTTTGAAAACAAAGTTTTTAGTGTTTTATTGTTACAACAAGATTATCATCTAAAAAATCACGTTGTTAGAGTATAAAAAAGCAAACACAAAGAAAAAGAGAAAAACTTTTTTATTTATTGTTACAAAGAGGTATATAATACTTAATAACAACTGGGAATGTGATTATTCTTTACTAAATCTAAGAGATCGTTTTTCTTATTGTCTTTAATACTAAGTACGCTTTTGTAGGCCTGTTGTAAGGTACTTGGAATGGTATTGTTTATTCTTCAGCAGAGATCTACTTGCTTGAACTCTTCATCGTTATAAGAGGTTTTATAATAGAAGGTATTCAAGAATTTCCTTGATTTAACTTAAAAATCTTTACTTCAGTAATCTTCAAAGATTTGATGCCTGTCATGCCTATATCGCCAGACATTTTTTTAAGCGAATAAAAATCCAAATAACTGAATTTATTTACATGGTAAGGTTCTTTCTTTTTTGCCGAACGAATAATTTGTGCATATTGACTTGGTGCATATATAGGACCAGATTTTAAACCTTCTCAATAGTTGAATGCACAGTGTCGCCATCATTCTTATTATGTCCACTTATCCAATATTTGTTGGTTATTAAACGTATTTTAGGGTATTTACCCAGAGCATAAATATACATAGCAATTACCAAATCTATTTTTTTGTGGGCCACAACAATTATCTGAAAAAAAAACGAAGTGAAGCTCAGCTTCATTATTATAAGTGCCCAGTTTTTTTCTATAAAATTAAGTATGCATGAACCTATTTCATCACTCCCCCTATTTCCATGCCTTTTATGCCAAAAGTAGCATTTCCCTGAAGCAGTTTTCAAATCAGACGTTTTTGGGACTGATAATTTTGGTGTCTGCTGGAGGAGTGTTTGCTGGTTGTGTGTCTGCTTGTTGAGTATCTGGTATTTCAGGTCCTGATCCTTGCAAGTTTGCTAATAGAGTGTCTGCAACTTCAACGTCTGGTACTGGAATACCTGGAGTCTTTACTGCTTGAAAGTCCGCAAGTGGAGTGTCAGCTACCTGGCTCACATTGTGTGAATTCGACAAGAAACTATTGTAACCTGGACTATAACTACTGCTTAAGCTAGAACTATCACTTGATGTAGAAGAGGAGGAAGAAAGAGCTACTAGAATCTGATTCATAGTTAGGATCTTTTATGGAATCATCATCATTATCGCTTACGAAGTCCGAGATTTGGAGTTCGTCTTTCCGTTCTGGTGAAAGGTCAACCCCTAATAATAATGTTCCAGGCTTATTATTATCGTTATCTGTAGCTATAACATAGTTTGCATGTTTATCATAAGAAACAAGTGCCGCATTTTCCTATTCTAAAAGATGTCTTTCTGAGATTTCTGAAAAAGAAGAAACATTATTATAGCTAAAATAAAAACTTTAGGCACGTTATTGAGGCACGCTATTTCTTCATTATTCAATATCAGATTACCTGATAGGGAGAGATGACAGAGTTTATAACATACAGTCATAAACAAGTAAGCAAGTAAGGAGAACATACAGTCATAAACAAGAAAATAACAGTCAATAGTTATAAAACAAGCGTCATAATTTAAAAAGAAACGTCAGTAGATTTGAAAATCGTATGTGGCGGTTCTGCAAAACAGTCATATTCCAAAAATAGTTTGAAAAAATATACTTACATATTCAAAAAACCTGGCTAAACTCAAAATGTAATACTCTTCCGCACTATATAAAAGTACTTTCCTCGTTTACAACTTCGAAAAAACTGTCACAACTCAAAAAAGAACAGTATTTTACTGTTGTTGATGCAATAATCAGATATAACTAATAATTCACAAAAAACTGTTACAATTCTAAATGTGACTCTTTTCAGGATTAAGCACTACGTGTAAGCTGTTATAAAGTCAAAGATGACACTGTAGCGGAATGCGTGCTGGGCTAACCTGTATAAAACAAACGTGTCAAATCGCCCTCTCGCGGTAAATAGTTCAAATAATATAAGAGTGACGCTTTTATGAAGGAAAGTGCGACTTATTTTAATACTTATAGCATGGTCATCTCAATAATGGCGATTTTTGAGTTATGACTCTTTTTAGCGGAGATGCGGTATCATCTCCAGCTTAGTTTCTAGTTTCAAAGCTTAGTCCTCAATTTGCATTAAAATTATTTCCTATTATGACGACGTTCTCTTAGTTGTATGATGAAATATCACTCAGTATGTCTCATAATTGACCACAGAAATCTTTTCTTTCACTATTACTCAGCCCTGTATTTTGAATGCACCAGTCAGAAGCTTTAATTATAGCGAGGTCTTTTGCTATAAAAATAGTGTAGCTATTTGATATCCTGGTTCTTTTCTGTCGATTCTTAATATAATGTGATATCGTATTAAGTATCGTAACTTTAATTATCAGATTTTAAATATGACCACAAATCAATTTGCTCTACTTTTATTTTCCTTGTATTTGTTTAACAAACGTAATTCATTCCAGGTGTTTTTTCTTGGGAATGTCATGCATTGGGGAGGAGGTTTCAAAATTTTTAATCAAATATGTAGAGTAGAAGATGAAAATTTTAGCATACTATTCACTATACTTTTTTTGGCAATTATGTTTGCTATTTTGATGTCCACTAGAGCTGTCAAGAATTTGATAGCTTCACCAATGGCTGTAAAAGTGGATAAAAAATCGGAAACTTTTATTTTTAACGCCCAATATTTTATGGTAAGTGATTTCTTTATTATTAATTTAATTTACGAAATAACGAATGTTGATACTGACTTGTGACGGGTTGGATATCGGTATCGCCTCCATGCTGGCTAGCCCTACCGATTTTCCATGTTGCACTTTGAAAAATATAGATTGTACTTTCGCGTTCTTTGTTGATAACTGAACAATTACATTTAAATCCAGGTCAGATCGACAGCAAAGACAAACAAATATGTCTAAACTTTACTATTAACAACAATAATTAATTTTAATCGTCGTAAAACCAAAAGCTGCTTTAAATACTAAATCTGTGACACATAATTTCTGATGAGTCTTCAAGGTCGAGCAACAGGTCATTTTATTGCAAATTCACATATTGTTTATTTATTATTTAACTAAATCGCATAAAGTTTTTGGTTAATATGATAATATTTCTAAACAATTTAACCTTAATATTAAAAAAAATCGTATGTGGAATATTATGTGTTTATTAGAAATTTATACAATTTTGTAAAGGTGGCGGTACAAATTACCATATAAAGTATACAAAAGGAAATATTTATATTTTAAGCCATAGCAACACTGGCAGTTGTCAAGAACCATCATACATTTTCTCTAGAAAGTTTTTTTTTTATTTTTTATGGCATTGACATTAGTCATTCAGCCAGTTGCAATAGATTCTCCAATCAGACAAATGCACAACTCTATCCCTAATCGAAAAAACTATCGGATAATTTATTGTCCAATATATTGGACAAAGTCAACAGTGGCTTAAACAACGTGTCACTCAACACAAAAGTGACTGTAACTTACGAAAAAACTCTTGTGCCTTAGTGGACCACCACTTAAAGACAGGACATAACTTTGACTTTAATAATGTAAAAATCTTGGAACAAGTTGATAATTATAAAAATCGACATTTCCTTGAAATGATACACATTAATAAAACTCCAGAATCTATCAATTATAAAACAGACACCAACCATTTAAGTAATATCTACTGTAATATACTTAACAATATATGATATGATAGATCTTAATATCAGTATCTAACAACATCAGACCAATAACTGACTACGTACCATCAATTACATTTTATAGATCAATTTACCATGTTCCTGATTCTTTCTGCATCTTCTACTTCTACACCTTATTATATGGATAATACTGTCACAATATGTCATTGTTTACTAAAACTTATTCGCTAAAAATTGTACAATGGGAATTCACTCTATAAAATATTGCGGTTACCATAACTCCCAAATAAATTAAAATAAAAAAAAAATGTCATTTATTTAAATTGGATATGTTATCAAAATTTAAATTTTTAATATTAAGTTGTAAGTATTGAAATATTCATTTTGTTTACATATAATAATTATAATAAATTTACAGTTTTCTCCTAAAGAAGTCACAAAATCGTGACGAAATATTGAGAAATAACAAATAGAGTTTTATTTCATACAGACCAATTGCTGAGACTACAAATAATATTTAACACAGTACGGTCGAGAATAATTTGATATATATATATATATATATATATATATATATATATATATATATATATATATATATATATATATATAACTATACATCCTATTCGTGAAAAGTTACCACTTTATGCATTTGTTGCATCAATTACCATTGCTTTTTTGTCTTAATTATTCCTGCATTACAGATAAATCAGTGAAACGTTCATAAACGAAATGCGTTTTTAATCTGTATTCAGCTTCCTTTTAACTGAAAGCGTAAAATCAACATACACTTATAAGCGACTCACGATAGCGTGATTCTTAGGCATCAATTATCAATTATAAAAAGTGCCACCAGTGCCAGTTCCAGTTTTGCTTTGTCAATCCCTAATGACTTTACGGTACACAAAGTTTCAAGATCACAATCATTCTAGTTGAAGACACTTTGCAAAATGTTGAGGAAAATATTTAAATGAGATCCTATGATGATGAAACGTAATCGCCGGTCATCGGATTTGGGATTGTACAAGGATTTGAAAGCCAATACAAAAAAGTGCATCATTGTTGTGTTCGGATGTATTTTCGTCGGCATTATTATTATTTTAGCAGTAAGTATAATATATTTATTATCTATTTTATTGTAGGTATAGCATAGTTATAGTTGATTCTTCTTATTGTGCCGCGATATAGGTACAAAATTGGAAATCATAAAAGTAGTTTGTTCTTATTTACCGCTTATCGACACAACACATTTGCATCTTAAATGACAGAAGGTTAGACTGTATCATCCTTGGCCAACTATCTCAACCAATAATAAGATGGTTTAGCTAATAAATGGATAACAGAAATAGCTCCAAAAAAAATAATTAAGCTGTAATTCATGCAACAATCAACAGATACTAAATTATAATTTCTGTTCTGAACGCGAATTCCTCTTCGTTTATACGTTACTAGTAATTTTTCAAACTTTTCAAAGATCCATTTTTTTATATATATACTGGGTAGTGAATCGCCAAACGGGTTATAGGAAAATCAATGGGAATTTCTAAATTGTTGAATTCCTGCTTCTCTAATTATTTTCATCAAAAATCATTAGAAACTATTTGAAGAGGACTGAAACCTGTATTAAAAACAAATGTTAAAATTTTTCTGCGAATTAAGCGTACTCCAAAATTTTGCAAATATATACCTAATACGTTTTTCAGGCCACCCCGTAAAGTCAGACCACACAAGGTACAATAATGTATATGATATGTTGCGTTTGGTCATATTGATGATTCTGATATTTAACAATGTTTGAATTGTCAATATTTTTATTTTATGATTAAATTATAAACAGCAAATTTTCACAAATAGTACTACTACTAGTGACCAATAAATAGTACTTTGTAAACAATAAATTATATTATACAAAGCAATATACTTAATAAAATGTACTTAGTTCACAAAAAATGCCAGATCTTTATTTAACGTAAGATATAAATCCAATCCAATTTAATTCCAAGTTATTCAAAAATTCAAAGAATTTCAATATTGTTTTACTGTGATCCTTCTTAAAAATAATTTATGATAATTTTTAAATAATATAACACTATAATAAGCAGTATCCCACTTGATTGTAAAATTCTCGTCTATCATGAGCCAAAACGCGTGGCGTTATTTTTGCAATCTTCAATAATTCGCATTTTTAATGCTTTAATATCTGTATATTTTTGGTCAGAATAGATTTTTGATTTTAGATGTCCCAGGTAAAATAATCGTTTGGAGCTCGATCTTCCGATCTCGGGGGCTACTTAATATTACAGTCGGGTCCAATCAAATAGTTATTAAAGCTATTTGTAAGGAATTCCTTAACCTCTCAGTTATTGTGTGGAGAGCATCCATCCACTTAATACCAAATTTATTGAAAAGTCTGGGTAAAATCTCTTCCTGTAGCAACTAAAAAAACTTTTATTAATTTAAATTCTCCTCATAGAAAAATGG